TCGTCTTCTGTAATGGTCCTAAATGATCTATGTGCAGTGTTCTGAAGGGAGCCACTCCCTTTGGAATGTTATGTAACCTTCCTGGGCCTCCCTTGCACCACCTTGAGAAGGAAATACATTTCAGGCACCCCTCAATAACTCTCTTTATCACCTCACTCATTCCTCTGAACCAGTACTGTCTGGTAACTGCTAATCTAGTCCTTTCCTCTCCGGCATGTCCCATCTGCTCATGAGTCAGCCTAACCACATTCTCCGTCATGCACTCAGGAACTAAGAATAATAGTCTCCCCTTGGCTTTACGGTATAACAGTCCATCCCTCATCTCATAGAATTTATCTTCTTCTCTCTCCAACTTGTCCCGGATCGCCACAAGCGACGCATCCTGAGCTTGTCGTAAAGCCAGCACCCTGTCGAAGCTATTTTCTTCTATTACCAGAAGCTCGTGACACCTGCTCAGAGCATCAACATGCTGCATTCTGGCTGCACCTCTATGTTCTAAGTCATAATTATAATTCTCCAATATAAGAGACCATCTAAGCAATTTTGGATTTACCTCTCTCTTCTGCAGAGCCAGCTTCAAACTATTGCAGTCGGTAACCAGTTTGAATCTTATACCGAACAAATATACATGAAATCTTTGAAGCGCATTGACTACTGCCAACATCTCCAGCTCAAAACTGTGAAGTTTGGACTCTGCCGTCGTTGTCCTCTTGCTATAATAGCATGTCGGATGCCATTTACCACTCTCTTGCCTCTGTAACAATACTGCTCCATACCCACGAGAACTACCATCCGTATGCAATTCTGTTCTGGCAGTTGGAGAGTATATCGCCAACACCGGTTTACTCACTAGCTCCTTTTTAACAATGTCTATTGCACAAACCTGCTCCTCTCCCATTAAAAAGTTCTCACCTTTTTTGCACAAGTCATATAATGGTTTGCACTTTATACTAAAATCCTTAATAAATCTCCTAAAGTAACTAGCTAACCCTATAAAACTTCTCAACTGCTTAAAAGTTTTTGGAACTGGGATATCCAGTATCGCAGCTATATTGGCATCACTAGGCCTTATGCCTTTATCGTCTATATAATATCCTAAGAACTCAATATTATCAAACATAAAACTACACTTATCTAACCTTAACTGTAACTTATTCATACGCAACACTTTCAGCACTCGTTTCAAAACGTCTATATGTTCACTAATTGTTTCTGTGGCTATCAACAAATCGTCCATGTAAGCCGTCACTTCACCACAGACAATAAACTCCCGCAGCACTTCATTAATATATCGCAAAAATACACTAGGGCTATTACAAAATCCAAAAGGCATTCTTATACATTCGAACTGTCCCTGCGCACACACAAAACTGGTATATTTTCGACTACCCTCGTTGATCACTACATGATGAAATGCATCCTTCAAATCCAGCCTCGTAAAATATCGCTTACCCTTGAGAGCGTCTAAACAATCATCGATCCTTGGACTCGGATAAGGGTCCCGTACTACCCTCTTGTTGAGTTCGCGGTAATCGATGCATAGCCGAATATTACCGTCTTTCTTGCGAACTATTACAATTGGTGAACAATACTCTGAACAGCTTCGTCGTATTATTCCCCGATCCAACCAATCTTGTATTATTACTTCTACCTGACCCCTTTCATAATATGATATTCTACGCGGACTTACATGAAATGGTTCCGCTCCCGCTTTCAAAACTATATTTAACTCGAACTTTACAGCCGGCTCAGTAGGCTGTTCGGCTTCCAGATATTCTTCGCGCATAACCTTCTCCACTTGCATACGTGAGGTTAGGTCTACTTTTTCACAAATTTTGACACTCTGCTCAGACTCACTAAATGTATCTATTAAAAAAATGTCATTCGCATTATCGTTTTTATAACTAATGCCCACTGTTCTTCCGATATTAACATTTAACTCACTATGTTGCACCATGTCCCTACCCAATAAACACATCGAAGACATGGTTTCACTCGGCACTACATAAAATTTAATTGTCACTGTCACACCAAACTTCACAAACGTAGCCTTCGCTGTCACGATTCCTAAAACATTCACTTTGGCGCCATTTATGCCCTCAAAACTGTCATCCGCGCTACACTTCTCCCACTCCACGCCAGTTGGCGCTGCGTCTGTCGTTAGCATCGATATAGGCGATCCCGTGTCTACGATACTGTCAAACTCATGAGTGCCAACCTTCGTGCGCACTCTATACGCCGGGATGTGACTTATTAAATGCGTCTTCGTGGTACTATCTGCTTCTCTGCTTGTAGATGCCTTTGGCGCATAATCTGTCGAAGCCTTTTGAGAACTCTCTGTGGATGCTTTTTGCGGACAGTCCCGCAGCAAATGTCCCAACTTCCCACACAAATAGCATGCACCTTTTTGCCTCCTAGGCTTCGAGCATCCTATCGCCCTGTGGCCGCTTTCACCGCAATTAAAACATTCTGTAACCTTCGGTATTACTACAGAAGGCGGTGGTTTCCAGCTCATATTCTGCGAAATGCCCCGTTCATATGGTGTTATTTCGTTCATTACCCTCAACACTGCCGATGTACTTTTAAATTCGCGCATTTTTGCCTGCGCTTGCAATGTCGCGTTATCGAACCCTTCGATCAAATACGCTATCATGTCCGTTTCTTCAATAGCAATTTTGTTACCTAGCGCCATTTTTTCTTGGTAATATGTACTAAATGGCTCATTTCTTCTCCATTTCCGGGCTTCGAATCTTCTCATTAATGTTAATCTGTCCTCACGACACTGGAAAACTTCACACATGCTGCTTTTCAACTCTTCGTATGATAGCCTGACATTATCCGCAGAAGAATTGTACCAAGCCTTTGCTGGTCCAGTCAATCGTGATACCAATAACAACGCCAATTTTCTCTTTGGTATATCGCATACCTCCGAGATCGCGCTTAATCTCCTAAACCATGATTCTACATCATCCTCCCTATCACCACTGAACTCGGGAATCATAGCTAAAATCTCCTGATTGCCCATCATGTCATGCACGTTCAACACGGTAACCTGTGGTTGAGCCGCCATTTCCGCTCGCGTGTTATCACCGGTATGGGCCATGTTGTATCTAATCTTATTAAATCTTCGTAATCACTTAATTATTTTTCTTAAAACACTAACACACGCACTCACAATTGCACATTCAGTCTACACAACGTGTTTTTCACTGGCCGGTAAAAAATTTGCTTCAATTATCGATCACCTGATTTACAATCTCTCTCAGATTCCTAATCTCTCTGATTTCCAGTCTCTCGCTAGACTCCTAATCCTCAGATTTCCAATCTCTCAGATTCCTAATCAGCGCTCACAATAATTACAAACTCACTTTTCCTCTATATATGGGTATGCCACTTCTGAACTTTAAGCTTGTAACGTCCTCTTGAATATCCTGAAATACTTATTAAAACACAACTAACTCTTCAATACTAGGTATATTCACTACTCGTTACAGAACTCTTATTACTCTTACTTAACCAAACTCAACTTATCTCAATCAATCCTGAATCCATACTGTCACTTCCTACTCTCAATCATCCTTACAAAACCACACATACATCCTGCCGGTTATTACGGGATCGGACATTCTCTCAAGACCCAGAGCCATCTATCCAACCAACCCGCACTACCAGCCGTTACATTCAAACTAATAAAATATAATCTTACAATATATATATATATATATATATATATATATATATATATATATATGTTGAAGCTTTTCTTATAGTTTTTACATTTGACAGCATACTTAGTTCCCTGTTTTCTACTTTAAAACCTAAATCGCCGTCTGACAGTCATCGATACCGTTTATAAAATCAATTGTTTAGACTGTGTGACAGTTTCTGCCAATCTATGGAACCGATATAAATATCCTCGTTAATGACGAAACCAAACTGGTCTTTGCCCGTGTGTGGTTCAATCTTATTCTCGAGTGGTCTCGTAAGTATTTGGACCAGATTTTTTTCTGTGTGCGAAGTCAAAATGATTGTTCTGTGGTCGCTGCACTTGTTTGCTTTGCGTCTTTTCTGAACAATCATCGTGACATTCAAGAAGTTCTTTGGCTATTCGCCCGTTCGGTATATTTAGTTCAGCAGTTCGGTCGGTTTTCTTAACCCGTTTTTGCCCAGATCTTTCAGCAGGTCCGCCGGTATGTCGTCATACCCTGTGGCTTTTCTCCTTCTCATGTTCTTTATTGCTTATTTCTCAAAATTCGACCTTATTTTTCAATATGTACGGTCCTTTGTCGCCTTCGCCTACCTCTTTCTCTTCTTCGATCTCAATATTGTCAGGACGATATTCTTTATCGTATAATTTTTCTAGGTATTTCTCCAGAGCTGAGATTTTTTTGTGGTCTGTCATTCTATTTCCATTGTCGTGTTTCTGCTTTCCCTTTTAGTCCAGTTCATCTTCTTTGTAGCCTGAAACACTAAATCGTATGTACCTTGTTTTTCATATTCCAGCCTTCGGCTTCTCCCTTTCCCTCCCGTCCCAATTGATCAATTTTTCATACATCCCCAAATCTGTATTCTTGGCGCTCATCCATTTTCTTTATCATCTTCTGGGTTATCCCAGAGTACTCAAGATACTTTTTCTAGCTTTCCTACGTTCTCTTCCAGCGTTTTCCTTCACTCTGTCCGTGCCTCTTTACCTCGCTCAGTCCCACGACATCCACTCTGCACTTGTTCACTTCCCTCTTGCACATCGAAGTGTATGACTAACAATTTGAAAACAACCAAATGACTACTATTATGCATATGCATTTGAAAAGAGGAGCAAGTTCTCATATTTGATATGTTTTTTTATAGAGGGATTATAGATTTCTAAAATGAAATCGATTTTTTTTGGAAGAATATCACAGATCTAATATAAAGTTATAGTATTTATTTTTAATACCATATTTTATATTATACATATCTACTATTGTTCTCAATATAAAATGATATATTTTTTTTTGAAGGGAGCACTAAAGATATAGGATCAGCGCTTACCCGAATATGTTTAAGGCATCGAGCTGTTGAAGCAAGGGTCAAAACATTCACAAAGTGAGTAATGTTGTTGATATAAACGGTTATAATATAGTTACATATTATGTAATTGGCTAAACAGAAAATATTGTTGAATAATTTATGTATAGTGCCATCATGGATAGCCTAGTGATACCACTTCAGGAGAAATTGGAAGATTGGAAGAAAGGAGTTATTAATCTTGAAAAAGAGCATTTGAAAGGTATGTTGCATGCAATGCATTTTCGTTGGTTTATCAAGCCTTTCATGAAATTTTATGACCATTGTCACAACATTTATGGATTGAAGTGATGTTTATAGAATTGATATTTTTATGATAAACAAATATTTAATTTAGAAAATAATTTTCGTTTTGTTTCTATGGATTTCGTACTAAGATTTATAATGTTTAAAGTTCACTTCAACGGTGTGGATGAACTGACTTGAACCGATTTTGAACATTTTCACTATATTTCATTTTTTTTTAAAAGTCTATTTTTTTTTCAAAAATTTCCTTTTTTTTTCAAAAATTTCAGGAAAATTTTAAACTTCTAGCAATTTGCCTTGGGCACAATGCGATGCACTACTAATTCAAAACGATATTGAGAAATATCATTTGTAATAATTTGGCAAGTTCTATTATATGATTATTTTTTAGAATTTAAGCGTGGCCGATCTGATTTAAAAAAATATTCGACCGATACTTTACGGATACAGAGAAAAGCAAAGAAAGGAAATAATAACGAACTCCAAGGTCGAGTAGAAAGCTGCTTACAGGTTTGTTAATATTAACCTCACCCTTAACGAACGAATGCAGTCATTCTCGCGACACTGCAAATATTCTAAAAAAACGCAGCATAACATGACAAGAAGAATTTTGTTTTTTTTGTATAGTTTTCAATATGAGCATAGAATGTGCACATTGCCGTTAGAAACTAAATTTGAATATTGGTCAACAAGCAATATTAGCAGTATTCCATTACATTTAAATTCAATAAAGCGATATTAATTGTGCATCTTCTCGTGATCTGGAAATGATGCACTTAAGAATTCATCACCTATTGGTCATAATTTTAGAAAATGCGCTCGTTCGTTAAAGGTTAAGAGCCATTTCAATAAAAATACTTAAATTCTATATGTGAAACTTTACTGCTAATTTTATAAGGATGTAACGGAGTGCAAGCTGTCATTGGCAGAAGTTAAACGACGTGCTGTACGTGCAGCCATGACAGAAGAGCGGGCTCGATTCTGTCAGTTTTATGAACTTTTAGAACCTGTTGTGCAACAAGAAATGGCCGTATTGGGTGAACTTTCACATTTACAGGATGCCACTGATCAATTGCGAAGACTTACTTTAAATCCAAGAGATCTTCCTCCAAGTAGTGAACAGGTATTTACTTACAATCATATCTGGATCTATTATATATATAGTAATAATCTATAGTATGTATATGTTACCATTGAGCATGTAAATAATCCGTTCTCAATATGTTTATTGATAAAGTGTAACATTATAATTAATACAATAAAATGTATGATGTGTGATATAACCTGAAGATATTTAGCTACTGAGCCTTTAGACCAATTTCTAAATACTGAATAGTAGGGCTCGAGGCTTATTGTAGGAGGGTAAATATTAACAGACGTTTTTCATTAGTGTCTTGAACGATATTCAAATATTTCTTTACTTGGTCGGATTTCTTTACTGTCCCGCTGGTCGCGGGTATATACGCGGTATATACAAAAAGTGTACAAGTGAGTCATTTTTATAGGCAGTATAAAATTGAACTATCTAATCTAACTATTGAAATTTTGGTTTGCGTTATTATTATCAAGTAATTTTCAATTTTATATATCTTCCTGTAGTGATATTTGTATGTAGTCACTTTTTATCTATTTTTTGGCGTGATTTTGATATTTTGATATTATGACAAAACCCCCATCAGCTGTGATATGACAACGCGACAAATTAATTTAATAATTATAATATTCGACCTTTGTAGTACCACAAAGACTATATCTCAATGAAATTAAAAAAAAAACATTATAATAGATTAAGGTAATATATATCAATATACTAAAATCCAAATTAACAATTTTATAAAAATTACAATATTATTAAAAATAACAATGTTAAAATAATTTTGATAAATTCTTTTTTAAATTATATTAGTGATATTATTAATTATATGTAATTAATAATTTAACTAATATGGAATATAATTAATAAGAAAAATCACACAAAAGAATGATCTAAATGCATTCTAAATAGTTCATCTGCATTTTGTATCGCGTGTACAAATTTCATCAAGATTATATTTTTAACTTCCCGTAGGGTAAGTTATTGTAATGGGCCGAAAATCGGAATTGAAAATTTTTACATTTCTCGACGTTTTGAAGGTTTCTGAACGTTTTGGCATACTTCAGAAAAAATGGATGTGTGTGTGTGTATGTATGTATGGATACAAATTTTCGTCCACGTTTTCGGGCGTACGGATCAACCGATTTGAATGGTTTAAAAAACATTCGATTCCTATTGATAGGGAAAAGAGCTGATTAGTTTTTGGCGAAGGCAGGTCCAGCCGTTTCGGAGATACGGAGCAAAGAGTGCAGAAAATAAAAATCGAGTTTTTGAGTGAACGGAGCATCCGATTTGAATGATCTAAAAAACATTCAATTAGTAATGATTGGGAGAAGGGGTTATTAGTTTTTCGCAAAGGCAGGCCCGGCCATTTCGGAGATACAGAGCTAAATGTACAAAAAATGGCAGTTTTTGAGAGAACTAAGCGTCCGATTCAATTGATTCAAAGAACTTTCTGCTTGTCTTAACAAAATAATTGATTTTGGAAAAAAAAATTTTTGTTCCATTTTTTTTTTTTTTTTTTAATTTTTTTTTGTATATCGAAAATAATTCAGATTTTATTTTTAATTCTGACTATTGTTCTAATATTCTTTACAAATAATTTCAACTTTGCAACTTTCACTTTATATAATTCTTATAAATATTAGACAATGTTACAATATTTATAATAATCTATTTGAAAACATTCAATATTCCTCGAACATTTCGTTACGGTACGGGAAGTTCAAGCAATTTGCCTTAAGGCACGATGCCACCCACCCCACTAGTTATTATTTTTTTCTGTTCCCAATATTTCATATTCGATATATTTTTTTCACTTTACTTTTTTATAGAAATCAGAAATACAATAATATTTTCTATGAGTTAAACTGTATAATAGAAAAATAAGTATGTATTATCTAAGATGATCCAGTAATATATCGTTAGTTTACGCATGGCCCTGTCTTTTTCAGTCTTCTATTGTTATGCGGTAGTAGAATGTCTTCAACTATTGGGTTTATATGGGTCTCTAATTATCAGGTTATTGCATATTGTGAAGTTTGTGACATACCACGATGCGTTTAGATTTGATCTTAGTATTTTAGTTTGATCTTTTTCTATTATTGCAATATTTGATTTTGATGCAGTAGCCCATAACTTTACGCCATACATCGAATTTTATTTTATTATACTCTTGTACATACTTGGTTCTCTACATACAATTTAGAGTTTCGGTATGTTAGCCAATACAATTCCTTTATTTTCTATGAATTTTCATCCTTTTTTTTATTAATATGATGTTTCCATGTTAATTTATTATATTATCGAGATGCAAAACCAAATATTTTACGATTTTGGGACTGGTTTATTGTTTAAATATGGGCATGTACTGCGACGTAAAGTAAACGTTACATGTACAATTTTATCTTCATTAATATTTATCTTCTATTTTTTCAGCTATTATTGTAGTGTATTTAAATATCTTTGAGTTTGTTCTAATGCTTTAAAGGCGTGGCCAGTAACCTGATCTGATAATAGCATTGAAGATAAATGTTATAAGTAATGTTATTTTACTTGGTAATTCTTTCAGAATTTTATCAGTAATCAAGTTGTATCTTGCTGACTTTTTAGGGTTGAGCATCTGGATTTGATGATAAACTTCTTTTGGTTTGATACGTTTTATTGGTTGCAAAAGTCCTATTTGATCCAACCTATCTTTAATTTCTTGATTTGGAGCATTATCGAATGTCTGGAATATGCACTCATAGTGCAGTAAACGGAGAGGAAAAAAGGGTATAACCTCTGATTTTTTTTACTTTGCTCCGAATTGCATGAAATTTTGGAATTAGGTTCATCTTACCCTCAAGTTGAAAAGTGAAAACAATTCGGGTTGCGCCATCACCCCCCGGGGGGGTTGCGACCCCTTAATAAATAAGTGGACATTGAGCCGTTTTATCGCTAGCAAACGTTTTAATATTAAAGGATATAATTGAAAAATATTTTTTAATACATTTACCTTGCAGTAAAATCATTTTCAATCCTGTGAAAACACTAAAACCCTTCAAACAACCTCTTAATTGAAAAAAAAAACACTTAAAAATAAATTTTGGTATGATACAAGAATTACGTATAAAGTTATTTCCCCTTATCATTTTCTGAACTATTGATTTAATTATTAATTTATTCATAACATAGCTCAATGATATCAAAATTAATTATTCCTCAATAGGTTGTGGTCGACACCAAGTTTAGGTCATCACCTAGTTCTCCGCAATCTTTAGGCTCCCGTAAAGGATCCGCGTGTTCCATAAGCTCCCTCAATTCAAATTCATCCAGTAGTGGTTTATCGCCGGGACTCTCTCCTGGACAAAATCTTTGGCAACGAAATTCACCTCAGGTACTTATATATATATATATATATATATATATATATATATATGTATATATATATATATATATATATATATATGTATATGATAAAATGATAAAATTGTTCTTGGGCATCCATCCAGTAATTAAAAACAGTTTTATTGAAAGAAAATGTTTTTATTCAGAAGACATACGTTTCGGGTCTTGATTTGACCCATCTTCAGTGCTACAATTAAATATTTCAGGGTTACAATTTAAAACAATATAAAAAATACATAATTACAGACAAAAATAAATAAAAACATGTAAAAAAACATAAATCTAACCAATTTAATAATATTTTTATAACAAATATATATTATGAAAGTATATATGAAAAGTATATATGAAAAACAAACATAGAATAAACAAATGTAAAGAAACTCACCATACAAATAAATTTGAAAAAAAAACACAAAAACACACGGAATTGCACGAAAAAATTATGAAACAACAAATTGATAAAACGTCGAGTTATGATAAATTTTAAATAATTGTAAAATTCAAATAAATAATATATTTTATTATAAAAAAGTTTATTCCAAGCGAACATGTTGTCAGCTTGGAGTATGTGTTATATGTAAAATGTGTGCGTACGTGTTTGCGGAAAATTGTGGAAACTGTATCGTCATTGGATGTCATCTGATCACTCATATTTGATAATAACACTGGGCTTCACTTGCGCAGTGAGTTTTTCTGAGACTTTTTTTACATAACTCGAGGACAAATTGGGAACGTTACAGAAATAGTATTTCTGAAAGATTGGATTTGAAGATTCGCTTGAAATTACCGAACGACATTGATGATTCCCTAAATCATCTAATACATGTACTACCGGACGCTGCAAAACTTTCAACACCGCCATTAAAACCGAAGGACGATAAACAAAAACCAGGCAAAAATCCAGAATTACCAGATTCATACAGACCAATAAGTCTTCTGTTCACCATTTCCAAGCTATTTGAAAAAATCATTTTGTCAGATATCACAAATAAATATGAGATATTTCCTACACATCAGTTCGGATTTCGCCTAATGCACTCAACGATCCAGCAGTGCCACCGTGTGGTCGACAAATTCTACAAATCGTTTGAGAAAGGAAATTACTGCACCGCAGCTTTTCTTGATATGTGCCAAGCGTTTGACAGAGTCTGGCATCAGGGTCTCCTAATTAAAATCAACAAAATTATGCCTGATTATTACGAATTCTTCAAACCCTATTTGTCGGACAGAACTTTTCAGACGAAAGTAGGCAAACAGGTATCGACATTTCGCAAAGTTGAAGCCGGGGTGCCCCAGGTGCTCTGGGGCCTATTTTGTATATCTTTTATACTCATGATATTACAACTTGCAACGACATCCTTACAGGAACATTTGCTGACGACACTGTTATAATGGCTGCTGACTCTAATCCTATTGTAGCCAGCAAGATACTCCAAGAGCATCTAGACTCAATTGAACTTTGGTCCAAAAAATGGAGAGTAAAAATTAATGAAAGCAAGTCGTGCCATATAACCTTCATGCTGAAAAAGGATAAATGCCCTCCTGTCAGCATGAATAACAAGGCTATACCTGAGGTCTCCAACATCAAATACCTCGGTATTCATTTGGACCAAAAACTAAACTGGATACAACATATAAACCAAAAAATAAAAGAGCTGCGTAGCAAAGTCAGGTCACTGTATTGGCTGATAGGACTTCACTACAAGCTATCACTGAACAACAAAGTTCTTATTTACAAATCTTTCATAAAACGTATATAGACCTATGGAGATTTAAGACTTATCACAAGCGCGCTTTGGAATGTATCTAATGAAATCCTGCATAATGACCTCCATATGGAAACAGTACAAGAAGTGATCAGCGACTCTCAACCCAGAAGACTCAAGAAGAAACAACCAGCAGATCTTCTCTAAATGACTAGTAATTTTCATTGGAGGGTTATCTAGGATGCCAACTTTTTATACTCAAGTACAACACTGCTTGAGTTAATATTGAACCAAACAGCTATAGAATAACAATATGTCCTGACTGCCGTTAAATAATGTTAAAAAATAAAGTTTTTTTTTCAAAAAAAAAAATAAAAAAATCAAGAATTTATAGCTTCTCAAAAATCGAATTTTCTCAAAGTTAAATTTTTCCAAAAATATTATTTTTTTTTTAAAAAATAATTTTTGCCTTAAGATCGCTCGATGCGATGTGCCCCACTAGTTGTTTTTAAATATTACACATATTTTTAATGCTATTATAAATATATAATTTATAATTTATCATTACATAAATGTGTACGATGGTTGACACTAATCGTTTTTTTTTTTTTCATTCTATTCAGTAATCTAAAAAAACATATTACATAAATATCAATAGGTGATATTAAATATAAACATAAAAAAGAGAAAATTATATACATACCGAGCCAGGAAAAACACAAAAAAAATTATATAAAATTTATTAAAAACTAAACTTATGTAAAAGAATATCATAACTAATAATAATTAATGAAAGGGAAATTAATGGAGCACATATTACCCTTCTAAAATGCATGATGTTTGCCCGCTGTGCATGGATTACAACTGAATTCAAGGTATTAAACGATGTTTTTTACAAAAATAATAATACAGCATTATTATACAATGTTTTGACTTGAAGTAACAAAAATTCCCTGTTTCGAAAAACGGTCCTGGCGGTGACGGTTATAACTCCTTGGAGATTCATCTGAAATCAATCAAATAAAAAAATAGTTTTATAAATAGATAATCCTGAGCCTGATCGAAGGTTTTCTTTTTTTGCAAAATTAGTAATTAGTCTTAAAAAATGAAATTTTTGAAAATATAAAAATTCTTCGATCAGGCCCGAGTTTATTATGTATTCTAAAAGCTCTATAAATTTCATTAAAATTTACTAAGCGGTTTTTGAGTTACAGTTGTCACCGGTTCAAAAAACATAGTTTTGAGAAAAACGCGTTTAAAGTTTCACATTGCATTTACGTACAGAAATTCGAATTATTGAATTACTTAAACCGAGTCAATAGTTCATCAGCCATTGTGCAAGTTTCCAAAATTTCCGTTTGCTGTTGCCTACGAAGCATTCTGACCTCCAGAGTGTTCTCGTTGGCGCGCTGATCTGCCACTTTCACACGTGCGGCATCCAATTTTTCAGCATACCAATGGAAATTATACCCACGATTTGGTCCTAGGGTATCCATAGTCAATAATAATGATTATGTATATGTATTCAGCAGTTTGTACGGTAGTAGAACTAGTGTTCACGGTTTTTAGGCATATTTTCTACACTAGTTGGTTGAAGCTTTCAATTTTTTCTGTTTATGGATTCAATCTCGAACTACACATCTTAAAAGTAAATTATCATTGCTGAGATCGTCGTAAATCGGTTTAAAAGCTTTTAAAACATCAGGAGGTAAGGGAGAATAATTTTGAATATAAGTGCTCTCCACTTGCGTCAGCGCGCTGAAAAGAGTCCTATAACTCAAAAAGTAATCATCGGATCAACTTTAAATTTCCAGACAATATTTTCAAGATATTGCACTTAATGAAAATGCAAAAAAAAATAAAAATCGATTTTTCAAACATTCTAAGTATCTCTAACCCCTTAAACTCTTTCCAAACTATTAGTTTATTTCAGATATGTCGATGACACGTTAATACTACTTAATAATAAAGATATAGATAATGTTTTCAATGAGTACATTCCGTATTCCGACCCAGGAACTGGAAAATGATTCTTCGTTACATTTTCTTGACGTAAAACGTATTAATAGAGGCGGTGTATGTTTTACAGATTGGTACAGAAAAATAGTTGGTCCGGGAGGTACATTAACTTTAACACTAGATATACTACGCCAGTCAAAATGACTGGTTGGGCACTTTCAATTTAAAATTCCCATTATATGTAAAATTTGTTTTGTGAAATGAAGTTATGACTATTTAAGTTATTAGTAAAGAAATCATTTTGTGCATTCAAAGTTACTTAGTAACAAAAATAAATTACTACTTACTGTACCGGCACCAGTCAAAATGACTGGTGCAAGTTTCTATAGAAAATGATTGATAAAAGAACCGAAATAACAAAAGCCATAGATCGTATGCGTTTATCGCCTACTCTCTCATCGACGACAATATATATTATTTATTCTTTATTCTTTTTTACATTGTAAAAATGCAGATTGCTGAAGTATTACTAGATTTTTACCACCAAAACAATTGTTTCGATCTTTGTTCAACACACTGAATAAAATTTTATTCAAAGTGATTTTCAAGTATAATTATTTATTCTTTTTGTACACTGATACAAGTAAGTAACATTCGCGTGGACACAGAAATTTTCAAAAATATATTTTTGAGTAAAAAAAAACTATAAACGAGAAAACTGCCATGGTCTCGACTTATTTTTATAGCGACTGTCAGTCTTTGAAAAAATAATGGAAACAATGTTTTTTAGCTTGTTTGTAAAATACAATCAGCGGATCTCTGAAATGTTTGGACCTAAAATTTGAAATATATGATAGTGACGGTGAATTTTTAGATAAACAAATCAATCCACAAGACAGTACTATTATCGACTCTAGAAATGGGAAATTTCGTGATAAAAACAATACAGATAGATCAAGTACGTTAGTAAATGGTTAGATATCACAAACAAACGTATGAGACGATGCGAGCCACTTTCTTCCAATTCTGAAGACGAATTAGGAAGTAATGCACCAAATCAGGAAACTAAAATTAGTTTGGACGAAACTATTTGGACAAGAGTTGTAGTAAAGTGAAATAGGTTTTGCAGGTAGATTAGAACAGCTGTAATTAGTTTTGTTTAACTTAACCCTCCGTCGGTCGGATATTTTTTCACCTTCGAACGGTCGGAAAGGTCTGGCTGGACCACGATTCATTTATATGCATTTATATGAAATAAATGAGTTTTTGGTGTCTTATATATTAACGATTATTAGTAGTGAATATTTATAGTTCAGATTTT